TTTTTTTTTTTTTTTTGTCATTTAGTATGTTATATACGTATATTACGTGTTATGATATGATGAAAAAGTAAGATGAAAATCTTTCATTTCATCCATGGGGAGAGCCAAAGCCAATTTTATCATTCACACGCCATCTGATGGTCTGATAACACTGTGATACGCAGAAACAAAAGGCTGTGGTAAAGTGACACATGGACAAAAGATTTTCTGTTTGCTAACAGTGAGAGGTTGATGTTTGCTTGGAGACTACCGACAGTGACCATTTTATCAAGTCTCTTTCTCCTCTCACCACTACACGAATGGTCAAGATAGATAGATAGATAGATAGATATATATATATATATATATATATATATATAGAGAGAGAGAGAGAGAGAGAGAGAGAGAACAATATATAAAAAATAAAATTGAAAAAAAAAAGAATAGAAGAAAGAAAGAAAGAAAGAAAGAAAGAAAGAAAGAAAGAAAGAAGAGAGGAGAAAAATAGAGAGAGAGACTCTTGGGGCTTGGGGAAGCAGGCATGTGGATGAGTGGGGGACACACCAAACTCATCCATTAAACCCCTTTGAAATAATTGAGTTTCTGACAGTAAAAGAAAGTTAATAAAAGAAGGAAAGGAAAAAAAAAAGCATACACTACAATACATTCAAAGCCCCCACCTCTTATTTTCCATTTTATTAATATTTATATATGTATTTATATTTATATATTTCTCTCCCCCCTATACTTACCATTTGTGGAACTGCATTTTTGGTCAGTGAGTAAGACACGGAGAGTATTTCAATTAACAACACCAAATAAAAGCAGAAGCCGAGGCTGAACAAGAAGAAGCAGCTGAAGCTAATATTTTTACAAGTTTTCTTCTCAAAAATCAGTTCTTTTTTTTTTTTTTTTCCCTCTCTGTTTTTGAGTCTTTTTTGAAGAGTTAAAAAGCAAGGAAGGAGATATGCCTAGACCAGGGCCAAGACCTTATGAGTGCGTTAGAAGAGCTTGGCATAGTGATAGACACCAACCCATCAGAGGTTCTCTTATTAAAGAAATTTTCAGGTTCTTATCTTTCTCAACCCAGCAAAACAAAGAAATTTTGTTTTTTTTTTTTCTCGTTCTGGGGTTTTGAGATATGTAATTATGTGCCTATATTCGTGTCTGTTTGTCTCTAATCTGGGCTGTTTCCTAAAGGGTTGCGAACGAGATTCATAGCTCGTCCACTAAGCAGAACAAAGAGTGGCAAGAAAAGCTTCCCATGGTTGTGCTCAAAGCAGAAGAAATCATGTACTCTAAAGCCAATTCTGAGGTTTTTCCTCTACTTTCTGTGGTCAATCTTTAGATTTCTTTGTTTTTTTTGGAAGCTGAACAGCGAACTGTTTATGAATTTTAGGTTAGATTTGACTGTTTGCTTTTCTTCAAAGTTCATGTTTTGCGCTCTTGCTCCATGCATAGGCTGAGTACATGGACCTTAAAACACTCTGGGATCGAACAAATGACGCCATTAACACCATCATTCGACGCGACGAGAGCACCGAAACCGGCGAGTTTCTTCAGCCTTGCATTGAAGGTATATCTGGGCTTCCATTTCCTTTGACATCAATCTTTGCCTAGGGATCAAAATTGAGTTATAGTTTCCTGATTAGCTTTAGTCTAAAATGTGGGCATTATGTGCTTTAATTCCCCTCTTTAAGTAAAAGGTAGTACTAGTTTTATGTTTTTAAGTAATCTCTGTGAAATTCCTTTCTTTGATTCACTAAACATCACATAGCTGCTCTCAATTTGGGGTGTACACCGAGAAGAAGCTCAAGAAGCCAAAGGAATTGTCATCCAAGATGTTATCTGAGCCCCAACACTCCTGATGTGTCCCCAAGCATGGCAGACAATTCTGCTAATGGTTCAACTTTTGTGAGACCCTCAAACCATCTAAGCTCTGATCCTAGAAGCCTAGTAGCGCAGAATAACATTTCGACCGCTATAAAATTCGAGAATGTTCCTCCGTCAAACTATGAAAAACTCCTAGCCATGAGTAACTACGCGGCAACCAACTCGTTTTCTACATACCCTCTGTGCTACCCAAATTTCCCTCAGTTTGGACAACTCCAACCGGGATGCGTTAATTTGCCTCCTAAGCCGGTCTCTGATGTTTTGGAGACCGCGAAAGGTGGCGCCGTGTTGAGTTCCGCTTGTCATGAAGATGCTTCTAAGAAGAACGTAGAACCAAGTATTAGAGAAGTAGCTGAGAAAACATGCAAAATTGGTTGTGATCTGTCTTTGCGGTTAGGCCCTCTTTCTGTTGCGGTCCCAAGTGTCGAAAACAAGCAATCCCAAGATGTCAAAGAGGTTAGTCCTCAAGGAGGGGGCAAGTTTTGTGATGAGTTACCAATATTAGATAAAGGGTTCCCTTTGTTCCCTAGAGGCAATGCATACGAGGCATTAGGGTCATACAACAGTATAGAGGCGACAGTGAGAAAGAGGAAGGCGGTTTTTGATCAACCGGTGACGGAGGATCAGCAGTTTTGTTTGCCGGCGAAGCTTCCATTTAGCCACCTGACACGCTTGTAGGTTGAATCAGAGCTTCAGTAAGTTTGCTTCAACCTCTCGGTAATGGATTGGTTAATGTGTAGCGCTGAAGTCCTTTTTTTTTTTGGGGGGGGCAATTTTGTCGTGCTCTGGGGCTGTGTTATGCACCCGTAGTTGCTATGTAGTGAGGTGAGATGTAAATATTAAATCAAGGTGAATTAGATAGCTGAACGGAAGAACTAATTGCAGAGCCTTTTGATCAGCAATGTACTGAAAAAAAAAAAAAAAAGGGTTGTTCCTAGCATGATACTTCTTATATATAGAACTTTACCGTTTTATATCTCTTTTAAGTTTTTTAAGTTTTTTTGTTATGTTATGGTCAGATTGTAATGGAAACTCTAGAAGTAACAAAGTTGCTTTAAAGTAGCTTCCGAGTGCTGCTACTAGTTAGTAGTTGTTAGAATTTGTTGGCTCCCCCTTAGCTGTCTAATACCTACCCTGAAACTGCTGTGCCTTTTTTTTTTGTTTTTTTTTGTTTGTGTACATGATGTCTATTTATGTTTGGAAAAATTCCTGTCACAGGTTATAAAAAGAATAACAAAAAGAAAATAACCTAACGCTAAAATGCAGTTCTAAATTGTTAGATCATATTAGAATCATACAGTGATCGTGAAAAGTATGATAGAACTTTGATTAAATCGGTGGTTTTTTTCCCCCATACCCTGTGAGCGAATTCTCCATTTATGTTTTCTGTTTTTAACATTGAACCAAAACATACGGTAATATGGTGGAACCCTTTTTT